CTCAGACTTGCCGCGGCGTCCTCAATGGGCATCTTGGATATATTGAAAGAAAGGGCAACCTTAACCAAAGAGGAAGCCAAATCGGAGGAGGTGAAGTTGCTCAAACGAGAGATCGCCAAACTAAAATGTAAATTAGAAACGGAAGTTGAAGGAGAAAAAAGAAAGGCCATACAGGCAGCCGGAGAAGCCGCAGCATACAAATCTGAGCTGCAGGCATTGAAGAAGGAAAGATCGGAAAGAAGAAAAGATAAGACCCCGAGCCCGAAAGACAAAGAGAAGGAAAGAGAAGGTAGTGGCAAGGGGAAACCGCACTCAGACAAAGGGAAATCCTCAACGGATACCCCAAAGAGGAGTTCCAAAAGGACCCCCTCGGCAAGTATCAAAGCTCGGGAGAAACTCATCACTTCCGAGTTGGAATATATGGAAGTGGATGAGAAAAAAATCTCCAAAAACCGCCAAGGTGGTTTTGGACAAACCAGAGAATTGGCCAGAGGTCATTCGGCCGACACTATGCGGGAAGAGGAAGATTATGAAGGAAGAGCCAGAGATACAAAACGCTATCTATAAAGCACATAAAAAATACATCGCAGAAGGACACAATGATAAGGAAAGGGAAGAGAATAAGAGAGATAAGAAGAGTGGAACGGGCAGTGATCCAACAGACCTAGCTAACATGATTAGGAAAATTGTTGCGGAAGAATTGGAAAGATACAATAAAAAACCACGAATCACGGAAATACAGACAATGAAAACTCCCATCACTATAGTAAAAGGGAAAACCACGGATAGGAATAAACAAACAAAGGAAGGTAATCAATCCAGCAAATCTAAGAGCATTGAAACTCCTAAAAGAGCAACAGCTGGGACAGAGAAGGAGAGAAAAAGTAAATTGGCAAATGAGAGTACAACCGACATAGAGGAGAAAGCCACCGACCTACCCTGGCCCAAGATTGTCGGTAGAAAAAGTAGAAAGGCAACCAATTTAGAGAAAACGATGGAACTAAGAAGTAAATCTCTAGTAACCACACCGGCGAAACCTTCAAAAACAAGGGAAGAGGCGAACAGAACCAACAGGAGGGTGCCCAGAAATGTACGGCGGCTGTACAAATAAGCTGTCGTGGAGAGGCAACATACGCAGAGGTTATGCGTATTGCAAAGGCTAAAGTAGACATAGACAGCCTGGAAATCCCGGAGATAAGGCCAAGAAAGGCCAGAACAGGGGCACTTCTACTTGAGATTCCGGGAAAGGAAGGGGCTAGTAAAGCAGATGTGCTAGCTGGTAAGCTAAAAGAAGCCCTTGGAAATGAGAAAGACGTCCTAATCACACGTCCCGAGAAGATGGCGGATATCAGGTTGAGAGACCTCGAAGAATCGACCAAAAAAGAGGACATATTGGAAGCACTAGCCAAGAAGGGTGAGTGCTCAAAGGATATTATTAAGCTAGGAGACATAGTATCAGCCAACAATGGACTGGGCATGGCCTGGCTGAAATGTCCAATAGCTGCTGCGAAGAAACTCGCAAACAGCAGAAGAATACGCATTGGCTGGACGATGACAAGAGTTGAGCTGCTACCGGAGAGGGCACTGCAATGTCATCGATGCCTGGAAACCGGCCATGTCAGAAATCAATGCCGGAATGAAACAGACAGATCGATGGCCTGCTACAGATGCGGGCAGAATGGCCATAACGTTAAAGGATGTAAAGAATCTGCATACTGCATCATATGCGCCGAGAGAGGCCTTAAGGCGAACCACAGAATGGAAGGACAAGCATGCAAACCCAATGTGACAGGACGGAAAATCAGAGTCAAACCAACTCCGCTAAAGCTAGTGCAAGAACCTACAAGGAATGACAACGCGATGGTAATCGACGTGGATTCGGGGACAAAAAACACCCCAGTGGAGGCAATAAATGTAACAGGAGAGGTCGAGACAAACGTTGCAAGATCTATGGCTGCATGCAGCGTTAATGATTCAAAAACGGTAGAGACGACACAGGACTCCACGATGGAAAATATGGAGGTGGATAATCCTCAGGAGTGGAAGACGCCTGAGGCAAAATTTACCCAAGGAATGGACTGGCCCGAACAAGGGCAAAACTGGAACACGGAAGACCAAGCGACGGCATCAGGAAAGGAAGGAGAAGGAGGAATTTCCACGTTAAATAATAATGGTTAATTTCATAATCCAAGCGAACATTAACCACTCAAGAGATGGACATGACATTCTCTTGCAAACCATGGCAGAAGGAGACTTCGCGTTAGCGATCGTGTCGGAACCATATACAATTCCGGTGGACCACCCTCACTGGTACTCCAACGAAACGGAGACTGTTGCCATCACATGGAGACAGGCCCATGAGGCAATGCCATGCACCCCATACGATAGAGGGGAGCATTTCGCATCTATTAGATGGGGGGATATGTTGGTGGTGGGGATATACCTGCCTCCAAGCCTTGATATACCCCAGTGTGAGGAAGCACTTGAGGAACTGGAGAGATGGGCCATACGACATATCGATAGACCCTTGATCATTGGAGGCGACCTAAATGCCAAGTCACTGATGTGGAACTCCAGAAGTACCAATCCACGGGGAACACTAATCGCGGAATAGGCCAGCGCTATGGGCATGTGCTATCTGAATAGAGGGCATGAAAGCACATGTATCAGGATGAATGGGGAGTCGATTGTCGACGTCACATTCGCCAACCCGATCGCTGCAAGAAGAGTTGTCAACTGGACGGTCTCGAAACGGGAATCAAAATCCGACCATCGGTATATAGAGATCACCATGAGCCCCACGGGTGAGCAGATACGAAGGAGAAAACTTCCGAAAGCCCAAAGATGGGCCACAAGAAGATTGGACGAGGATATGTTTACTGCTGCAATCATGGCAAGAACATGGCCAAGGAGGGAACAAGAGGCAGAAGATACAGAGGTACAGGCTAGGTCTCTTCAGAGGGCCATAGTAGAGGCGTGTGATGCCTCCATGCCTAGGTCCACACCGAGACCACGCAGGGCCATGCCCTGGTGGACTGAAGAGTTAGCATCGTTACGTCAGGAACTAACTAGGGCGAGAAGACGACTACGAAGAAACAGGAGAAGGACGGCTCATACAAATGAGACGGAAAACCAACTCAGCCTCCTAAACTTCAGATTGGCCAGGGACAGATTTGGCAAGGCTATAAGGAAGGCCAAGGCCAAAGCGTGGGAAAAATTTATTCTGTCTCTAAACGAGGACCCATGGGGCTACTTCGAGACCCAGATCCTGGATCCTCTGAATAACCACATCCGTAGCGATGTTAGAGAGGGTGGTAGCCTCCTCCCAGTCTTCCCCAGTCGTTAAGATTAGTGTATCGTCTGCGTAGCAGATAACCAAACTCTCGAGTGGGAGTTCCCTCTTCTCCATGATAGCGTTGAAGCCGATATTCCAAAGGAGTGGCCCAAGGATAGACCCTTGCGGCACCCCTCTTTCTACTGACTTGTATCCCTCCGTGCCGTCATTTCTATCGAATGACAATTTCCTATCTTCAAGATAGCTCCTAATTACTCTCCTGAGATACAGGGGAACCTTGTGTTTTAGCAGGGCCTTTCCAATGATATTCCAAGGCAACGTGTTAAACGCATTCTTGATATCTAGGGAAACACCGACTACCTTATTGCCATTGGCAAATGCCTCCTCCATGAATGCTCTAGCTGCGTTAATGGCGAGCGTCCATATAAATTAGTTCTCGGGAAACTGAGAAGGTGGACGCAACCACATACTGAATCTCTAGAGGAAGGGACCCTGGAACGGGTACTCATCGGGCTATTCCCACTATCAATAAGAACGGGATCCGAATGGCGAGAACCAGAGATACCGCCAGAGGGGGCTACAGCCTGGCACGCAGATTTAGAAGTCTCTCACGAGGAACTACTTCATGCAACTAGTAGAATGAAGAGCAAAAACGCGGCACCGGGTCCCAGTGGGATACCCTCGAAAGTATGGGCCTTGGCTGTGAACGTGATGGCGGGTGAATTAATCAGGCTGTTCTCGCAATGCCTAAAGAAAGGATACTTCCCTAGCGTATGGAAGAATGCCAAACTGGTGCTCCTGAGGAAGGCAGGTAAGCCTGACAACCAACCATCAGGCTACAGACCGATCTGCTTACTAGACGATGAAGCAAAGCTCCTAGAGCGAATCATCGCAGACAGAATCGTCAAACATTTAGACGAAAGAGGACCAAATCTGAACCCTAGGCAGTTTGGCTTCAGAAAGGGAAGGTCCACTATAGACGCCATTAACGCAGCTAGAGCATTCATGGAGGAGGCATTTGCCAATGGCAATAAGGTAGTCGGTGTTTCCCTAGATATCAAGAATGCGTTTAACACGTTGCCTTGGAATATCATTGGAAAGGCCCTGCTAAAACACAAGGTTCCCCTGTATCTCAGGAGAGTAATTAGGAGCTATCTTGAAGATAGGAAATTGTCATTCGATAGAAATGACGGCACGGAGGGATACAAGTCAGTAGAAAGAGGGGTGCCGCAAGGGTCTATCCTTGGGCCACTCCTTTGGAATATCGGCTTCAACGCTATCATGGAGAAGAGGGAACTCCCACTCGAGAGTTTGGTTATCTGCTACGCAGACGATACACTAATCTTAACGACTGGGGAAGACTGGGAGGAGGCTACCACCCTCTCTAACATCGCTACGGATGTGGTTATTCAGAGGATCCAGGATCTGGGTCTCGAAGTAGCCCCTGCCAAGACAGAGGCAGTGGGTTTTCATGATAGAGGCAGACCGGCCCACACGAACCTGAGGATTGCAGGAACGACTGCCAATCGGCACAAACATGAAGTACCTGGGATTAGTGCTGGACAGCAAGTGGAACTTCGAGGCCCACTTCTCCAGTCTCTCACCAAGATTGGAAAAAGCTGCACTTAATCTTAGTAGGCTCCTCCCAAACTTGGGAGGACCTAACAATAGAGCGAGAAGATTATATGCACAGGTGGTGGCTTCAATGGCCCTATATGGCGCCCCAGTGTGGGCGTATGAAATATACAAGAATAGGAAGTGTCCGCAAACCATCAGGCAAACGCAGAGAAGAATGGCTGGTAGGCTCATCCGAGTCTATAGGACGACCTCGTGGATTGCCAACTCAGTGCTGGCAGGGATGCCACCTCTTGAGTTGGAGGCCAGGAGGCAAGAAGAAGCATACGCAAGGATTACCGATATAAGGAGAAATACTCCGACTGATATCCCGGTACCCAAGGCTACCATCGAGGGCATCAGGGAGGAGACCAAGCGAAACCTGGTTAGAAAGTGGAAGGCATGGCTGAACGATCAAACACCCGAGGAGGACGTCGTCGTCAGAGCCATACAAGGTCAATTGGAAGACTGGCTGGAGGCGAAAGTGGGGCTCTCCTTCCGGGCGACCCAGGTCCTGACGGGACATGGTTGTTTCGGACGGTACATGTGTCGCATCGGGAGGGAGCTCACGCCGGAATGCTGGAGCTGCGGGGCGGAGGTAGACTCCGCGAGGCACACGCTTCGTTACTGTCCGGCTTGGACGGCAGAAAGGAACGCGCTGCAGGATGTATTGGGGCAGAACCTCTACTGGAGGGCGATCATTACGGCCTTGAGAAGGGAAGACGGGAGGAGAGCCTTCTTGGAATACTGTGAGGTGGTTATGGCCAAGAAGGAGGTCATCGAAAGAGACAGAGAGAGGATGGCTGGATTACCAGCCCAGGGTGCGAATAGAATAGGGGGATGACATAAGCGCGAGTAGATCGTTGTGCGGGACACCGGGCATAGGAGGGGACACCGTTTCGTATGCGGTGAGGGACTCAATTGCAACTAGGGCTGCGTGAGTTCCGACACTGCGGGGAGGGGTATCTTCTCCATCTTTAACTTAGATACCCCTCCCCGTGGCCCTGACGTTAGTACGGGGAGAAATGACATTGCGTGTGTGCAAGCAGTGAGAGTAGGAGGGGCCGTCGCACCGAATAGCGGGGCGGCGAGAGGTTGGAACCTAGAAACCACGGGGAGGGGTATCTTCTCCATCTTTAACTTAGATGCCACCTCCCCGTGGCCCTAACCCAGCGAAATCTGGGTGATAGGAGGAGACGTACAGCCGAACCGATTAGCGGGACGGCTGGTCTCATAAATAAACGAGATATCTGCAGGGCTGTGAGGCCTAGCTAGACCATGTCTGGCCCTCACGGGATAGACCCATGGAGCCTCGGCCGGGGGCCCGAGGTTCCCTCGAGATGGGTAAAGGATATGAGGGTGTGTTGCCGGCGTCCTCACACCCTCATGTACATAGGGGATAGTCTACAATCAAGTAGATAAGCGGGACCCATCCGGATGTACTACTGATGCGAAACTCCTGGATGGGTCCCATTCGCTTCGGGTTAGGCACGTCCGCAGGGGTTTTAGTGGGAAGGCTCCTCGAGGGACTAATCTCGAGGAGAAAATCCCACATACCCCGTCTTTCTCCCCCGAGAGAGACGGGGATGCGTAACGCATTTCCCCTGCGTCACAAAAAAAAATGCGATGCGAACAAACTTAAGAACGACATATAGATTTGCTGTTAACTATACTGCTGATTGAGTTAATCGTCGATTCAGTTAATCGGCATTGGTAACAGTCGCCCTAAATAGTGTTAATCAATCTTGCCTTGCATTAATTGACAGTTACACGAATTATTTTTATTTCTTATACATACATTATATTAATGTAATAATTAATTATAATAGCAACGCCAATTAACTTAATCGACGATTAACTCAATCAGCAGGCTTGCTATTATAGAAATAAGCAGTCTTGCTATTATAGACAGAAGGTTTTCATCACATAATCATCACATAATCATTACTTTCATCACAATTAAATAGAATTGCAGAAATATCACGCACTAGCGAATAATCAAGCATTGAGGCAGCGTGATTCGATTTAGCTTTTTTGAGGCGTCCGTTTATGATAGGCGAATACCTAGACACACATTCCCTCGACAGCGAACACCTAGACTCCAACTTCCTCGACGGCGGACATCTAGACACCCACTTCCTCGTTGGCGAATGTAGACAACACTTAGAACACCCACTTCTTCGAAGGCGAACACCTAGACACCCACTTCCTCAACGGCGAACATCTAGACACCCACTTCCTCGACGACGATCACCTAGACACCCACTTACTCGACGGCGAACACCTAGACACCCATTTCCTCGACGGCGAATACTAAGACCCTCATTTCCTCGACGGCGAACACCTAGAAACCAACTTCCTCGACGGTGAAAATGTAGACAACGCCTAGACACTACGTTCTTCGACGACGAACACCTAGACGCTCACTTGCTCGACGGCGAACACCTGGACACCCATTTCCTCGACGGCGAATACCTAGACACCCATTTCCACAATAGCGAACACCTAGACACCCACTTC